TAGAATAAGACTCTAAATCCACCTGTCTTGCTGGGAGTCACTGGTCACCAAGCGCAGCACCTGAGCCTCAGCTTTGCGCACTAAGAATATTTCCACCCAAGCCCACATGGAAGGGGTGAGAACATCTCAGAACGTTTTCTCGGTACCATGTGGAGGGGGTTCATGCTGTCACCTCCAAATTCACGTCCTTCCCAGAATCTCAGAATGTGACCTTTGTTGGGAAACAAGGTGGCTGAGGATGCAATTAGTTAAGGTGAGTGGGGTCAGACTGGAGTAGGGGGCCCTAAATCCAGGGGAGTTAGAAGAGAGGAGAAGAGGCCAAGACAGATGTTCAGGAGGAAGATGGCCATGGGACAGTGAAGGCAGAGACTAAAGTGACCATCCACCAGCCAAGGAACAGCAAGGTCAGCCAGCATCCCAGAAGCCCAGAGAGGCCTGGAACAAGACTGAGAGCCTCCAGAGAGCATGCCCTGCTCACGCCTTGACTTTGGACTCCGAGCCTCCAGACCAATGGGAGAATACATTTCTGTTTGTGGTACTTTTGGTGCAGCAGGAAGCCAGAGCACTGTGTGAAAAATTTTTCCCCAAGAATATCTCCACTTCACAAGTGTACCTCTCATATATCCTAGAGCTTATCATAAAATCTTGTCACTGCAGACAGACTGTGGAAGGTTTAAGTGCTCCGGTTTGAGAACTTTGAATGGGCCTTCTTATCTAAGCACATTCTGTGAATTTTCTAGTCTTCAATCTGACTCTTGAACCCAATTTTCCTTGTGGGTACATGCTCATGACCATTTACCCTGTGTAAAACTGGAGGGTTCAAACCCCCACTCCAAGGAGGGGCTCCTCCTGCTGCCTGGGGGGGCCTTGGGCATTTTCCGGCCTCCTCCCAGGAGGAACTAGATCTTCCTCCCTCTTGAGTCTCTGGGGAAGAGCTTGACCATCCTCCACTCAGATGTTGCACTTTCCAACTGCTGAGATGTCCTTTAACTCCGTCCTGCTGGCTAATGGCAGGTGTGCTTGTAAACCAAAGGACAAAGCCACAAAGCAGCGATTCCCGGGTCCTTCTGTTGCAACCCAGTGTTATGAGGCAGTGATTCTCACTCATCCCTGATGGCATTGCTGGCACTCTCCCACCAGGAAAGAATGTGCAGATGTTCCTCAGACCTCACCCTTGTTTTTATTTCCCTATCAGCTCACCTGGGATACCTTCCCACTTTCTCCTCTGCAAGGGATAGACTCCAGATGCAATTGTGACCAGAGGCTTCTCCCACCCTGAGACAGAGCTGGCTAGGAGATCTTAGCCCTGTGCATGGTTTCATGTCATTCCCCATCACTAGCCACTCTACGCTGGGAACAGAATGACTGTCCCTTCTGCCAGCAAAGTTTCCTGGGGGCTCCACTAGCCAATGGAGAGAGCCATCCATCCGCTCTTCTCTGTTCTTCATGGAATGGTTCAGTAACTCAGAGAGCTGTAGGAAATTACTAATCAAAAAAATCCAAGTAAACAAAAAATTGAGTAATTCTGCTCATCCTTTTTTTTTGGGGGGGGGGCGGTATCAGTGATTGAACTCAGGGGCACTGGGCCACTAAGCCACATCCCAGCCCTATTTTGTATTTTATTTAGAGACAGGGTCTCCCTGAGTTGCTTAGCACCTCACTGTGGCTGAGGTTGGCTTTGAACTTGTGATCCTCCTGTCTTAGCTTCCTGGGTCCTGGGATTATGATTACAGGCGTGTGCTACCGTGCCTGGCAGAGCCTCCATCTTTGACAAGTCACTGCTTGTTGCGTTCACAGGGGTCATTCACCTCTGCACAGCTCAGAGGGGGAAAGTTGTTTGTGGACTTAGATTCCTGCCCCCCAGGCTCTGATCTCTTCCAGGACAGATTATTTTATACCCTCGCTTGGGAAATAAACACCTGCATGAATACATGATTTAGGCCCACCCCTGCCGGCCCAGGCTGGGCCACGCTGATGGGGTACTGCTACCCATTGCTGTTCTGCCTGCACTCTTCAGGGAGCACCTACAGGCTCATTTTCTAATCCTACCATGGATTTACCCAAAGCCTCTTCACCACAGACAAGTACCCACATGGATAATCCAGGGGCGAGGCTGTGTACTACATCATACCACAATCTGATTTTTAGAGCATAGTAGTAATGTTTGGACAAAGGCAAGGGTCAGGAAGAAGAGACTCCTGTCATTTACAGTCACTTAGGGTCATTTGGGTTTTCAAAATGTGGTTCTGGGACCAGCAGCAAGAGCATCCTGGGAACTTGTCCAAATGTCCGTCCTTGAGCCACGCCCCAGTCCTCCTGAACCACAGACTCAGGCTGGGCAGAAATCGGTGAAAAGAACATGCCCTCGGGGTGAGTCTGGTGCATGCAAAGTTTGAAAAACACTGGCTTAGTGCGCTGTCAGCCCAGCATCAGAAGCTCTCTCCTCTTGACGCTGGCTGGAAGAGGTCAGCCCTGAGGTCACGAAACAAAGGTCCTCCAGTATGCAGCAACCTGGACTTCCAGCTGCACACTCCGAGCTTAGAGCAGGGACCCCGGCTTCACTGGCCCCTCAGCCTTCTCCTGGTTGACCCCTGAGCTCCTAGAGAGGGTGTGGGAGGACTTTCAAAGGGCCGGCTGTGAGTCACCTTCAAGGCTACTCCATCATCTAATACTCCAAAAAGAAGCTAACTTGGAAAACTCACTGGAAACACAGCCCGAGACCCGGGGCACAGGCATAGCAGAGTGTCCTTTGCTAAGTAAGAACTTCTCAAATAAGCTGAAGGTCTCGGCAGACTGAGGCAGGAACTTGATTCAGACTTGACCCTGGTACCTCACTTTCAGAGTCAAATAGGTGGCAAGTGACGTGGTAAGATCCACGGTTTTCCAAGACCAAAGTGTGAGAGCACCAAAGTCCACCAAGTTCCTGGCTGAATTTTGGATAGGGCAGGGGCGAGAGGAAAAATCTTCAGTGAAGTCATCACCAGCCTCTGAAGGCCTCAAGGCCTGCTCTTTCTTCTCTGAGGTTTCTCCCCAGTCTATGAAAAGCTCTCTGTCATTAGGAGACTTCACCCACCCAGATGGCCCTCAGGAGAAAAGACTTCTCCACACTGGTTCTGAGAAACACACAGGTACTTTAAGGTAAGGGTTAGAAAAAAACAGTGGCTCATGGGCCAAATCCAGTCCACTGCCTGCCTTTGTATAGTTTACAGATAAGATTGATTTTATGGTTTTAAATGATTAGGAGAAAAGAGACTATTTTGTGGTACATGAAAATTATATGAAATTCCACTGTCAGTGCCCATAAATACAGTCCTATTGGAACAGCTCCACCCTTGTGTTTACAGATTGTGGCTGTTTTCACAGTCCAAGGATAGAGCTGAGAAGTCATCGCAGACAATGTAGCCCACAAAGCTGAGAGTATCTATTACCTGGCCCTTTCCAGAAGAGACTACTGACTTCTGCTTTAAAACAGGGCTGGCAAAGCTAGGCACCTTGGTGCACACCTGTAATCTCAGTGGCTCAGGAGGCTGAGGGAGGAGAATTGTAAGTTTGAGGCCAGCCTCAGCAACTTTTGGGCAACTTAGTAAGACCCTGTCTCAAACTAAAAAATAAAAAGGCTGGTAAAGTGACTCAGTGGTTAAGCACACCTGGGTTCAACCTACGGTACAAAAAAATTTTWAAAAGTAAAACAAAACGGGGTCTATGGATCATGATGCCAACAAGATTCTGCAACCAGGTTTAGCGATGCATTGCCACATCCCAAGCAATAGTTTATCCTGTTTGTTGTTGTGGCTTCTCATTGCTTATGCTGAGTACTAATTCCTTAATGGTACAGTTCTGGATCTCACTGTGTCCCTCCCTTTCCTAGTCACTCATCACCTTTGCCCCTCGATTTCCAGGGGGAGTGCAAGAACCTGCTGAGTTCCAGTTGTACAGTGCTGAAGCCTAGCTCACAGTACAGGTTTCTCTAAGAACAGGTTCCTGCTCTGTTGCCTCATTTGCCAAGTATTCCAAACATCACCTTATGGCACCCAGCACCTGAAACAATTTTGGCATAATCTGTGTGCCAAAGATCTATTCTCAGAGGGCAAGTCACTACCACTTTGTTTCTTAATAATAATCTTTTAAACTTTTTTATTTTTTGGCATTTACTCACCCTTGATATTGAAAAGTTGGGACTTCGCTAAAAATCAAACTAGTGTCTGAATGTACAATTGTTGCTATTCACATGCTATGCCAATCTCATTTGCAAAAAACAAACAAACAAGCACCAAAACCCTTAAGGATCAATTTGCAAATTAGAAAATGTTGATTGATTTGGAACTATGCTTCAAAAGCCAACTCGAATCATCTGCTGCTACCTTTAACGATTATTCCCATTTGAGCTGTTATGAGTGCTAAACGCATCTCACAGCATTCTAATTCAACACAGATTTGATATCCAGAGTCCAAGAAAAACACTTCAGAGAACCTCCCTGTTAACAGGGAGCCGCAAGGGAACGGCGTTTGAGGATGGGACCCAGAACATCAGCCTAGGAATCCCCCCATGAAGCCGAGTGAGATAGGTCCTCAGGCTGGCAGTCTCCACCCAAGACCTCTTGAAGCAAGTTTCTGGAACAAGCACAATTAGCCACAATTAAATGTCCAAAGTGTGACCCACTCACCGCTTCTACTTCCAAACTCTATGTGGCCTTTGGCCTGGTGCAGTAGGAAGTGAGACCCCAAAGAGCTTACTTTATTGGGGCAAGAAGGCAGGGGCAGCAAATGGCAAGGTGGAGATCAGAGTCCCTTCTCTCCAGCATGTGGCCATGTCGTTTTAAAAGCAAGAGCCAGGGCAAGACTCTGGGGATCCGCTGCCCCATCTTTAAGGGAGCAGCGGGTTTCCACGGGTGCTCTGCTCTCTGTCACTTCAGGAGTGGCTCTTCTGTGGCCGGTGGCGGCCAGGTTACCCCCAAGCTCTGACCTCTYAAGGACCAGCCACTCTCTGTGCCTCTGCTTACCACCTGAGGACAGGGGCAGGATCTGAAGTCGGCCCCGGAGAGATGGCTCTAATGCCTCTAGGGCCAGCAGTCCCTCCAAAACTCCAGGGTCGCCTCCCCAGCCAGAGGGAAGAGAAGTGTAACCCAGCTTGCGGCCGTCACCAGCTTCCTGACATCACAGTGTTGTGTCAGCATAACCAGGTCCCCTTCGAGGCCACTGCCAGCGCAGAGTGGGCGCACAGGGATCTGAGTTCCACAGGTGGGCAGATCACGGTTACTGCATTCATTCTCCAAGCCTAGGAGTCTGCGGGACTGGGCGCCCCAGCTCTCAGCCCACCAGTGACCACCAGGAAGGGGACGTGGAGCCCCGCTCCCTCCCGCGCTTGGCAGTCCCGGGTTTGCCTTTTCCCGCGGTGCGCACTCGCACTCCCTCGCTCTCCCCGCCTTCGCCAGCCACCCCCATGACAGCGGGGGCAGGGGGGGCAGGGGGGGCAGCCCGCTCACGGCCACAGCGCTCTGTCGCTGCAGCAGGAGCAGGACTGCGTGGCACCAGTGGCACCCCGGGCTTCCCCGCTGCCAGGACGGATGTGTCCTCGCTCCCCGGGGATCCCGCCTCCGCCAGCAGACTTACCCATGGTGGCGGCGCTGAGGGCTCCCGGCGGTGACCGGAGAGTGAGAAGAGTCCAGCACCACTGACTGTGGCAGGCCCTGCCGGGCTAGCTACCTGTGCGGCTGCAGGTGTGCGAGGCGGGGCTGCCCCGGGCTCCACCCTTGGAGGTGCCTGAACCACGCTGCGGGCGGCAGAGGTTATCACCCTTGATCCCCTGCAGGTGTCCGCTTGGGCGGGCCGGTGCCCCAGGCAGTCTAGGCAGGAACAGACCCGAGTACCAGGGCAGCAGAAGGGCTGTGGGGCCACCGGCTCCCCCTGTGAGCCGTCATTAGTCACCTGGAGCGCTTGTTAAAATGAAGATTGCAGGTCCCACCCCAAGACCAGGATTGGGGCTGGAGCTGCATTTTTAACAAGCCTTAGGTGATGTGCGTGCTCCTGGCCGCGCCCACACTTCCAAACCACCTTCCAGGAAACATGCACTGCTTCTCTGTGGGGATGTGAAACTGGGTGGCACACTGGTCACTGTGTGTCTATGTCCTGTGTGTTTGTGCACATGCCAGGTATGTGCTTGTGATTGTTTTCAGAGAGAGAGAGAGAGAGAGAGAGAGAGAGAGAGAGAGAGTGTTTTAATATTTACTTTTTAGTTCTCGGCGCGGACACAACATCTTTGTTGGTATGTGGTGCTGAGGATCGAACTCGCGCCGCACGCATGCCAGGSGAGCGTGCGAACGCTTGAGCCACATCCCCAGCCCTCCACCTGCAGTTTGAACCAATGCAAGCATTTATGAAGGATTCTACATCTCCACACAGAAAACAAAAACAAAAATGATGACCTAGCAATCCTCTTGGGATGACTGTTCTGTTTTCCTGTCTGACTTGTATTCTGCAAACAGCAAGGAACAGGGAAAGGGAGGGCTGGGGTGGTGCTCAGTGGTAGAGCGCTCGCCTAGCACACGCGAGGCACTGGGCTCCATCCTCAGCACCACATTAAAAAAATGAAATAAAGATTGTGTGTCCACCTACAATCTAAAAATAAAATTTWAAAAAAAAGGGATATGGAGGTGAGTTTCCACTCTTTTCTTTAAACCCTCCTTTCCCTCCTGGAGCCTCTGGCAGGACTGCTCCACGTTCTGCCTCTGAATTTGACTCCTTCAGGAGCCTCTGAGGTGGTTTGTACAGTACTGTCCTTGGTGCCTGGCTTCCTTCCCTTTGCTAATGTCCTCAGGTGCATCCCCACTGTAGCTTGGGTAGGAGCTCCCTTCCTTTGTAAGCGTGAAGGACATTCCAGTGAATGGACACACCTCACCTTCCTTGTCCTCCCATCTGCCCCATTATTTTTGAGCTTTGGGAAGTCCCCAGCCACACGGTTGGGAGATGGTGGTGTGGAGGTGAAGCAGACGGAGACGCTGCACCTGCCCTCTCTGGGCTTCTTCACTGTGTGAGGAGGGAGACACCCCTTTCCGCCCTTGCCTAACTGATGCCCAGGGTAGCTGATGTTGGCTGCTGGGTCCTGCTGGGTCCTGTCAGGCAGGAAGATGAGCACTGACCACAGGGAAGCCTCGGGGGCCCTGCAAGACTTGGAAGCACTCTTCCCAGGTGTCACCTACTGTCAGCCAGGCTTGGCAGAGAGGGGAAGCTCCTGATAGCTCCTTTGGGTCCATTTTATCTGCAGGGTGGAATTTCTGTTGTTGAGTTTGTGAATCTTGGGATCCTGGGCCTGTGTAAATTCACTATTGTTCTGGACTAGAGGTTCTGGAAGTGTGGTCCCTGAACCAGCAGCATTAGTATCTCCCAGGAATGTGGGGGAAATGCAAGTTCTGGAAATGCAGCTCAGATCCTCTGAATCAGAAACCAGACTTCTCAGTGGTTGTGAGGGAAATGCTGTCTCTTCCATATGCCTATTGAATCCTCCATTCAAGTACTATTGATTTGTCACTTCAAGTGCTAACTACTGTGCTAGTGGCAGGTTTAGTGCCTTCTGTGTAAGCAGTGAAGGGACAGGCCTGCCACTACGCAGCCTGCATTCTTTACTACCCTTTAAGCCTGCCAGGAAGAGGCAAGATCCTCTAGAGAGGGATGCTTCAGGGAAGAACAAGAGCTAAAGGGGCAGAAGAAACAAGCTGTGCTGATCCTGAAGAGACCATCCAGTTACTGGAATCCACTAGAATTCCCAGGATAAAGTGGCCCTGGAGAACAGGCAGTTCCTACYGGGCTGCTCTTTGGTATGTGGTGTGGGGGACAGCAGATCTGGGAACTTCCACGTCATCTATACTCCCTTGGGGAGTCACACTGGGTCAGTTTCTCTTCAATTCAACCTTTCCCCTCATCCCTCTTGATGCTGCTATAACAAATCACCACAATATTGGAGTTTAAAAGAACAGAAATGTATTCTCTCACAACTCTGGAGACCAGAACCTGAAACCAAGGTAGGGGCAGTGTGGCCTCTGGAGGCTGTAGGGGAGAATCCTTCATTCTCTACTCCGGTTTCTGGTGACTCTAGGAAACACAGGCCTCTGTCTTCATACAGCCTTCTCCTCTGTGCCTTCTGTCCTTGTCACGGGATTCATGACCCCCCCACTCCAGGATACAGTCATTTTGAGGTGCTGAAGTCTACCTGCAGAGATCCTTTTTGCAAATAAGGCCACACGCACAGGTTCCAGGTCATCATATCATTAGGGGAGGGCACCCCTGAGTCTAGGACTGGAATACACAGAATTGACAATTGGTCCTGGATAAAGGGAACTGTCACTTGACCTCAAAGGATTGTTCTTATGAAAACCTTCGTGGGAGAAGCAAATGTCCCTAGTAATGGAGAGACCTGAGTCATGCGGACCTTGACCGTTCATTATTTTTGACTCCTAAAGCACTCAATGGCACAAAGTATCACAGTGTTCTGTTCCAAGAAGAGCACTGCCTTGGGAGGCGGCTTAAGAACTTTTTGGAGTAATTCTGCCTCAGGTTGCTTAGCTGTACAGACCTCTTAATTCCATCTCCGAGGGGAAACTGGACAGAAGTGAACTATAAAGCAACTGGTATGGAGAGGTTGATGGTTAGGGGTAGATCTTACGAGTAAACAAGAAGGGATCCTGCCGCCATCCATTGGAGGTGGAGAATCTGAGGGATGGAATGACTGGGGGTGGGGTGGGGGGGAAGGTATAAAGATATGAAGGTTATTTGGAAAATAGCAGAAGGAGAGGGAGGACCAGCAGCCAGCTCGTGTTCATTAAGTGCTACTTTGGAATCAAGAACTCGCAGGCAAATTTTACATGTCACCCACCAAGTTCTCAGAATATTAAGCAACTGAATCCAGGAAATGGTGGAGGACTCAATTCTGCCCCTGCCAGGCACTGGACTGTGCTGTCCTATTTATAGCCTCAAGATGACAAGGTGATAAATATATATGTTCATGTTTACCAGACTCACTTAAATTATAACTCATTTGGCAGATTTTGCTTTCAAATGTAGTTATCAACCGTAACTACCTCCAGTGTTGGGAGTGTCACAACTCGTGCTCTGCATTGTCCCTGAGACTCAGATGATCTCAGTGTACTCTGCTTGCACCCCACTCGTGCTCTACGGGCCCTGTGGTTAGACACTGCGCCACCATCTTGTGCAATTCCTTTCTCACCACAGTGCAGTGCGTCCTACCATCAGGAGCATGCCTTTGTTCTGTTTTTGTCACAGAGAGTTTCAAAGACACGCAAAGAGGGACTATAAAGAGCCCTTGTGTGTCCGGTGTGTCTGCCACTGGCTCAGCTCATCTTCGGCACGTCCTCAGTCTTTGATGGGGAGGAGAAACTGCAGCAGTGCATGCTGGCTAAATTGCCCAAGGTCATGCAGCTGGTGGATGGCAGGAGCAGGATTCTTCCCTCAGATGCCTGATTCTTAGCTATCAAGGGCTATCAAGCAATGGAATCAGATTATGTTTTTTTCTAGATAGTTCCAGGGTTACATTCCTACCTACGCCCTAAGGCCTATATTCTTGGTATTGCCGTGGAATGGATTCTTTTTCTAACTCTCTACCAGTTTGGGGCACGCATTAGTGTGCTTTATACAATGGTCACATTGCTTTCTTCTTCTTTTCATAATTGGGCTTGCTTTCCTCTCTGATAGGATACATACATGCTTCCTTCTAACTCTGGGGGTCCTATGGCCTTCCATTGTCATCTGTCCCTGGAATCCCTTTCTCTCTTACCTCTTGGTCCCTCAGGGTTGGCTGCCCTGGCAGCCAGGCACAGCCCATGTCCTCGGTCGCCGATGCCTTGGATTCAGATTCCTGGTCAGTCCCCTGACCTCCCTCCTTCCTTCTTCCTGTTCCTTTCTTCTTTCCATGTCCCCCCTCCATCCCTGCTTCTTCTCTTTCTTGGAGCACATCCTCAATAACATCACTAGAAAGGGGCTTGGGAAGTAAAATTCCTATGTTCCTGAAAACAGCATCTTTATTTTGCCTTAAATCTTTTTTTTTCTAACTATGTTTTTTAGTTATAGATAGACACAATATTTTTACTTTATTTTATATTTATATTTACGTGGTGCTGAGGATGGAACCCAGGGCCTCGCATGTGCCAGGTGAGCGCTCTCCAGCTGAGCCCCAGGCCTAGCCCTGTCTTAAATCTTAAAGAATAAAATTCTTCATTGGAATTTGGTTTTCCGCAGGATGAAGATGTTACCTTTTGTCTCCAGCCTTAGTGTGGCTGGTGAATTTATTCCCAGTCTATTTAAAAATTGTGGGCTTTTTTTCTCTGTGGAAACTTGTGGATTTTTACCTTTTKTGTGTGTGTGTGAGAAGGTGTCCAGATGTGGGTCTTCGCCTTTCTCTTTCCTGAGTAGTTTTCATTTGATGTTTCGGGAGCTCTGGGCCACTTTCCTCTGTCATCTCTGTAGCAGGTCCTCCCTTCTATTTCTTGGTTCTTTTTCTTAGAAACCTGTTATCCAATGTGAGTCTCCTGGACTTCCTCTCCCTCTCTCTTCTCTCATGTCATGTTTTCTGTCTCTTGGTCTTACGGGAAACTTCTTTACCTTTATTTTTCATCCCTGAAAGTTTATTTAGCAAAAGTATTTTAAGTGAAAGGAGTATTTTTAATTTCTAAGAGATTTTTTCTTGTTTCCTGAAGATGTAATCTCTCTCCTTAAATCTCTCTGAGGTGAAGTTCAAAAGGAAAGTCCCTTCTCTTGCCAAATCATGTTTTCCTCCAGGGTCTTCTACACTTTTTCTAGGCCTTCTCTTTTAATTACTGGATTTCAGTTTGGAATGTTTTTGGGTTTGCCTTTTTGAAGAAGGACAGCATATATAAATTCTTGCAGGTGCTGGCCTGGGTCTCCCCTGCACGGGGCTTCCTTTTGGTCTCCTTCCCCAGTGGCCTTCCCCCTGACTGCAGAGGCTGATGGTGGCATTTGTGGTGCATGAGAAAGGAGCCGTGGCCGCCGGCTGCCTCACACTGACCCACAGAGGTGACCTTGCATACCTTTTCCCAACTCCCAACTCCAGGCTGGTGGCTTGGTATCAGCCACCAGGGGGGACTAATTACAGAAATTAGCACCTGATGCTTGTCAGCACCTTTCACGAGGGAGCTGCTTGCTACATATCTACCAGGACATCACTGGGAGGGTGACACGAAGGTCTCACTTGAGGATACGCGGGTGGGTTTCCAAATGACCGACACCACCGCGCACCTTTCCTGTCCACGACGGCTATTTGTATATCTTCTTCGGGGGAACACCTGCTGGAGCCTTTTGCCCATTTTTATTGATTTATCTTTATTTTGTTCTTTTTAGATATACATGACAATAGAGTGCACTCTGACATATAATACACACACGGAGTAGAACTTCCCATTCTTGTGGCTGTACATGACGTGGAGTTGCACTGGTCATGGATTCACGGATGAACACAGGAAAGTTATGTCCGACTCATTCCACTGTCTTTCCTATTCCCACTCCCCCTCCCTTCCCTCCGTTGCCCTTTGTCTAATCCTCTGAACTTCTATTCTCTCCCCCATTGTGTTTAGGAGAGAACATTTGGCCTTTGGTGTTTTGGAATTGGCTTATTTCATTTAGCACGATAATCTCCAGATCCATCCATTTACCAGTACAAGTCATAAAATCATTTTTTATGGCTGAGTAACAGTCCATTGTGTATAATACCACATTTTTTTTTTGCCCGTTTTTTAAATTTGGGCTCTTATTTAACCGTTTTTTACATATTCTGCACATAAGTCCTTTATTTGCAAACATTTCCCCCCAAGTCTGTTGCTTCTCTTTCTGTTCACTTAATGTGTCTTTTGAAATCCAGTTTATCAATTTTAAACAGAGCATGTTTTGTTGTCATAATGAAAAAGACTTTTCCTTTCTCAAGATCACAAACATATACTGCTGTGCATTTTTTTTTTTTTTTGAGTACTAGAAATTGAACCCAGGGGTGCTACATCCCCAGCCCTATTATTTATTTAGAACCAGGGATTGAACCACTGAGCCACATTCCCAGCCTTTTTAGTATTTTTTATTTAGAAACAGAGTCTGCTAAGTTGCTGAGGCTGTCTTTGAACTTGCGATTCTCCTGCCTCAGCCTCCCAAACTGCTGGGATCACAGGCATACGCCACCACGCCCAGCTGCTGCTGTGTTTTCTTTAAGAGGCTTTATATAATTCTGACATTTAGGTTAATGATCCATTTGAGTTAATTTTAGTGTATGAGGTAAGGTAAACATCTAAGTTTGTTTTTTGCATATAGCAGATATCCTTACACCATTTGTTGAAAAGACTATTCTTTCTTTCATCAAATTGCAAGGGAACTTTTGTAATGAAATAATCTGTCATAAACATAAGGGTGATCTTGGAGCCTTTCCTTCTGTCCGTTGATCTGTATGTCTGTTCACCACATTCTCTCCAACTGTGTTCTCCACATACCAGATTGCTGTGGCTATTGTAGAGAAAGAGAGAAAAAAAAAGGCCTAACTGGCAAGAATATCATAAATACCAATAGCAATATTTACATTAGCCTCAGACTATGCATTTTTCTTTGTTTTTGTTTCAAAAAGTAAAATATATTATTCAAATTAAATTCTACCAATGTCTATGAAGACTGACTCATCTCTAGTATCTGCTCAGATAATTAGTCAAGTACATTTATTTCTTTGAAAAGAAAACACAGAATCAATTGTAGGAACCTCACAGGGTTAGGATCACTCTCGGGTGGGATGAGTCAGGCGCCTCAGATGCAAATCTAGGGAGTGGGCCAGGAGAGCCCGCAGGCAGCTGGCCCAAGGCCCAGGGAGCAGAACCAGGGCTATAAATGAGTAACACTGATAGGCAGCATGATTTTGTTACAAGGTTCACATACACGTTTCTCTCTGATGATTACATCAGGCCTACAATCACAAGTTATTTATAAAGAACATTTTTAAAAACATGTTCTTTGTAATCCCAGCGGCTCAGGAGGCTGAGGAAGGAGGATCGTGAGTTCAAAGCCAGCCTCAGCAAATGCAAGGCACTAAGCAACTCAGTGAGACCCTGTCTTTAATTAAAATACAAAATAGGGCTGGGGATGTGGCTCAGTGGTTGAGTGCCCCTGAGTTCAGTCCCTGGTATCCACACCCCGCCCCGCAGCCCCAAAGTGTTTTCTTTAAAAACAACAGCAGTTCTGTTCTTCCACAATATCAATGTGCTTTACAGAGTGATCTGAAGCTCTTGCAAGGGATGAGAAGCACATTCTACCAACTCGCAAGCTTTGGCTTTCTGGGGACTGGAGAGGTTTGAAAGGAAAAGGAACTTGAGGTGGCTTTATCTTTATCATGCCATTGCTTTCAAGATAAGCCATTGCTGACCCAGGGGATTAACACAAGTAGGACAGGGTAGGACAGGATTCCCTGGTTGGTGGTGTTCTAGAACATTGTTATTTTTTCTCTACATTCAAAGAAAATTCTGGTTGAAATGGAAAGCGTGGCCCCTGCTGGTTAGTTAACCCAGTCGCAGATGTCACACCCCTACCTTGTCCTCAGCCACCACCATCATGGGCCCACTCGGAGGCCCTGCAGACCGTGTGCCAGTGGGCAGCGAGGAATGGCGAAGGGCGTGCACCTGCTGACTCCTCTACTCACAAGCTGCTCCGGTGGCCCCTCAGACGTCACCTGCAAAACACAAACCCACAGGTCAACTTATTACGAATTCTAGGAAGGAGATGACAGAGCTTGGTGGAGTCCAGGGCTCTTCTGAGTGCCTGGTCCTGGGCGACGGCACAGGTTGCATGCCTGCCTGACCAGCTGGGTGGTATTTGTCATCTAAAAAAGTATTAAATTGGGGATATAGCTCAGCTGGTAGAATGCTTGCCTCCTATACACAAGGCCCTGGGTTCAATCTCCAGGAAAACAAACACACACATACACACACACACACACACACACGTATTAAATTGTATAAGGGTAAATGGTTAAATTTAAGTGTTCTTCTTTTTTTTTTTTTCCTGGTACTAGGTTGTTTTATTACTGCACTACATCCTTAGATCTGTCTTTTTTTTTTTTTTTTTTGAGAGAGGGTCTTGCTACATCACTAAAGGTGGCCTTGAATTCGTGATCCTCCTGCCTCAGCCTCCTGAGTCACTGGTATTACAGGCAGATGCCACAGCACCCAGGAAGTTTTAGTGCTTTAAGTTTAAGTGCCTCCCTGTCCTAACCTTTGCTAACAGTATGGCTGGTGACACACTGGACACCCCCCAGGTTTTAGCCGCAGTCTTAACTGATCGAGGTCTCAGTTTTCTTACTTTGTGTGAAGCTGGACAAGACACTCAACCTTTCTGAGCCTCAATTTCCTCAAATGTAACAATGTAGGTAATGACCCTCAATTCATGGTGGCTGGGTGGGTTAAGAAAAAGATCTTCGCCCCCCCCTTCCTTACAGCAGTAAGGAGTTCCCAAATTAGAGGGGGGAATGAAGCCAGATTTAAAGTTAGGTAGTCAGTGTAGTTAGGTAAATCGGGTCTAATACCGGGTGAAATCTAAAATGAGGCCATGCTGACAATGATTCTGGGAAACTCATGGAATGTTAATGAAGTCCCGGAAAGGCCCTAGGCCAATCCACCCCAAAGAAATGTTAATAGAGTCCAGGAAACAGCCCCGAACAGATTTGGAGATAGCCCATCCCAAAGAAGTGATAATGAAGTCCTTCATGCCCAGATTACTTCTTTGGCCCACCTGTGTCCCACCCCTCGGGCCTTCCCACCTACATTCCATCTCCAAAACTATGAAAAAGGGAGACAACCGCCCTTCCACGGATTCCACCTCTTGGGTCCCCTTCTTCCTCCGGAAGAAGTCTTTTCTGCTGTCCTTTAATAAACTTCTAATTTCTACTCTGAA